AAACCTGTTTAAGTCATCCTCCACTCAGTCATTCTTTTCCCTTAACACAACTCTTCATTGTCATCATTAAGAAAATTGGGTGATACTATCATTATGCACATATCACATGTCAGTCAATGAGCTTTATACACTACCTCTGGCCATTTCAATAAGCTTGCAAAGTATGTCTCATACTCATTTTACAGCTAAAGAAGCCAGGCCTAAGTAACTATCCCTCATTTACACAACCATGGCAGCAAAGTCCTGGTGCCCTGACTTAAATCCAGTCTGTGTGACACCGCCTCCTCTGTTACCTCCACAGGCACAGCTTTGCTTCAAGGCTTTGCCAAGATTATCATAAAGGCTCGTATCTTTTCTCCACTCCAATCCAGTGTTTAAACTGCTATTGGAATGATCTTCCTAAAAAGAGAGAGAGAGAACCCCATTCTGTTCATTCCTTTCTTCGAAAACCCATTATTGGTTCCCCATCACCATGGAGCAAAACTCATACACATCCATTCACAAACAGGCCCCAACCACCATGGGACCTGGCCAGATCAACTGACTTCCCTGTTTTCAGAATAGGACCGGTTATAACTCTACGCTTTAGCATTTGCTGGGACTGTCTCTCATCGTATCTTACATCCCCAAAAACTTCTGACAAATTCTCACTCATCCATTGTTTAAGACCAAGTTCAACTGTCACTGCCTCTGTAAAGCCCTTCCAGAGTCATTCAGACAGAATTAATGCAGCCCTCCTCTGCAAGCCCCATATTACTTTGTTCAGTTCACTCACAGGACAGGATTATCTCCTTAATGTTTGTCTCATCTTTAACACTGAATTTCTAGATTACTTTGCACATTCATGTTTTTGTACCCAGACTAACAGTACACATTACAAGGACTACTGGAATGAATTTTCCAAATTAAACTAATTCTATACCTGAGAAGTTACAAATAAAGTGTGACAACATGCAACTTGGCACTTTTTGAAATATGCAATTTGCTAAATTTGTTCCCAACTTGTATTTTCAAAAATCTTTGTATAGTTATACCTTAAGGAATTGTTAACATTGTAATCCACAATACTTCACTAAACTATAGACTCCATGACAGTAGGGCCTGTTTGTGCCCTACAACACACAACAGACACTCAATGTTTGTGGAATAAATGAAACCTATCTTTGTTTAGCCTAAAACTAGCATGTTATTGGAACAATTAGTAATCAAAACTGTATTCTTAAAAAAAAAAAAAAAAAAAAAAAAAACACATGTAGGGGTGGAAGGAATCTAGGCAAGTCACAATTCTAGCCTAAAAAACAGGCTAGCATAGATGAATAGTCCCCTATACAGAGCACGTAAACGTTAAGGTATCATATACCAACTCTAAAACTCCAAGAGTCTAATAAGTATTCTAGGATATCTGATAAATTACTAGTTTTTCCTTCACTATCTTTAAATCATCACCTTTTCCTTAATAATTCTACCTTGGTGATTTTATTTTATTGTTATCATTGAAACAATTGTGAAATAGTCCTACTACCACTGAGGCATACCAAATTTAGAACTTAAATTTCAGGGCTAAATATACAAAAAAATAATGGCATGGGAGGAGACTATCATCTTAAATACGATAATCACACAATTCCTTTTTTCCACTTAGAATCACAAAATCTCAGGGGAAGGAACATACAAGTTTTAACTTCCTACCCAACCAACAATCCTTTATACAGAATCCTTGACAGATACTGTTTTTTGGTTTTTTGGGTTTTTTTTGTTTTTGTTTTTGTTTTTGTTTTTGAGACGGAGTCTCGCTTTGTCGCCCAGGCTGGAGTGCAGTGGCACGATCTCGGCTCACTGCAAGCTCCGCCTCCCGGGTTCACGCCATTCTCCTGCCTCAGCCTCCCGAGCAGCTGGGACTACAGGCGCGCACCACCACGCCCGGCTAATTTTTTGTATTTTTAGTAGAGACGGGGTTTCACCCTATTAGCCAGGATGGTCTCGATCTCCTGACCTCGTGATCCGCCCGCCTCGGCCTCCCAAAGTGCTGGGATTACAGGAGTGAGCTAGACAGATACTGTTGGAACCTCTACATGAATACTCAACTCTCTTATGTTGTACTTACCTTTAAAAAGTAAATCTTACTGAATTTTTAGGCAGACGACTGAACATAATATGCTTAAGGCTTAAAACAGAGTATTTAGGCAGGAGCTAATAGAGAAAAATATTAGGTTTTTGTTTTCAATTTCTCAACCATTGGTAAAATAATGTTCAAAATCTCAAGCAACTTCAAAGACAAAAGCACACCAAGATCACTTCCAAACTGGAATCAATTAAATACAATCTTACCAATTCAGTGAACTTCTCTGATTTGTATAATAACAGAATCAATGTAAAAGTGTAAGAGTTGTGTTTGACTCAGCGCTGTTATTTGCTAGAAAAAAAAAAATCTCATCCCCCATAGGCCTAGGATAGGTCCAGACAGGTCACCCGCAATCCCTAGCAGGCAAGCTTTGCTTACTTAAATTCCCTAAACCAAGACTCATCTCTAAATGTCTAAGGTTCTTCTTGCCTCCATAATTCTTCCTATAGAACAAACGTAACTTTAATGAGAAGCATGATATTTCTGCCAGAGATGGTACACGATATGGAATCACTTGTTTGAAGACAAAATTAGTGGGAGTTTTCAACAAAACAAAAAATGAAAAGTTTAATTTAATAAGGAGGGTGACATGGAAATCTTTCCTCAAAAGCACTTAATTAGTTTTCTCCAAATCAAAATCCTTTGTTGGATATATATTCCACCTTTATTAAACAAATGATAGCATTTGTAATGACTTGAATACTCTCTCAAAGGTCAGACTAATTTGAAGCCTTTTAGAACCTAAAATCCACAGGTAAGACATCTTAATTTATGGTCACTCATGTGGAAGGTCAACGTTGCTATTCACATAAGCTATTTCTAAGTTCCCCAAACAGATCCTCATCATTAACTTAAGGAGAAAAGTCCACTATGATGATCATGTTTTATCTTTGTTTGCGCTTCGAGTGTTAGGACAAACGGACTTTTCCCAGGTGCCTCTCGCCATCTCATTCCTTGCCTTTCCTCCAAACAAGCAAAACTAAAATACTAAAAATTTTAGTTTGGTCCATACTAGTCACTAAAAATCTTTCTTCTTGTCAACACTTCATAGTAGGATAAGGGACGTAGTTTGCAAAGATTATCTGTACATCCTGCGTAAAAAATAAAATCGCATGGCACACCAAACCCAGATCCACTTCGGTGAATTCCCTCCAGGGCCCAAATGTGTTCATTATGCAACAGCCAGCATTCCCGATTGTAATCCCTGTCTGTGATGCAATGACAAAATACAAATGGCTTGGGTATAATCTGCTCAGTTCGTAAGTAGAGTAATTCGCGAGGAGCCAACGAATTAAAATATTTCCCAAATTCTCAGGAACCTTGAAAATGACAAACTGTGTCACAGTTCTCTGAGAATCACAATGAAAACTTTCCCTTCTGGAATTTTTTTAGAAATATGTCCCTCCAGTTCCAACCCCACAAAAAATCCGTACACACCGTTTTAATTTACGTTAAGAACTGCTCTCCCAGCGGGGAAAGGTGACCTGCATCAGGTGGTTATTTTCGAATCCACCCCGATACGATACCCACGCCGCTTCCCAGACGCTAAAAAGCCAGTGAAATGCTTCATCCTTTCTCCTCAAGGACAGTCATGGGAGTCAGTGTAATCCAGACCCCCGAGCCATAAACCACCCAGGGTTCAAGGCTTCACCTCCTAAGGCATAGGCCTCTTGAAAAATGGCATAATGGAGAGCTGAGAACACAATTAGAACAAAACTGCAACGACCTGCATTCTAGAGGAGAGAGAATCATACAGTATCTATTCCAAAAGTAGTTACAGGTAAGGGAAGGCGGTCAGAGCATCTCTGGAGGCCACCTGGTCGCGTGAACCGAGTCTAAACGCTGAAGTTCCACACCTCCCCGAGTCCGCGTCTCCCCAAGCCAAAGCAATCAGCGCGCACGCCAAGCATCCAGGTGGGGAGAGGACGAGGGGACGGGGCTGCCAGCCGCAGCTGCGAACTGGCCCGCGGCGGAGGCGAGGGGAGAAGACCAGCATTCCCTCACACAAAATGGTGGCGCTGAGGCGGAGGCCAGCGCACCTGGGGGCGCCACACGCCCTACGGGATTCCCGCAGACCGCCGCCAGCTGGACGCGAGCCCCGGGTCCAGGCGGCCCGCACTAGTCTGCGCCAGGCCCAGCCCCAAGGGGCCATTCACAGCCGGTGTCCCGCGTCGCCGCTCGGTGTCCGCGGGACTGGCGCCGGCGGGGGCGAGGGCCTGGCGCGACCGCCTCGGCCTCACCCAACGTCCGCGCCAGGGATAGGGAGCGCACTCACCTCGGACGCGCCCCGGGAGCCGCTGGAAGAGCCCGGGAAAGGAGGCGGAGCCGCGCGAATGAATGAAGCCGGCGGCTGCTCGCTGGCGACCTCCAGCCGGTCCCGGGCCGCACCGCTCGCGCCTGCCAGGGCTGGTGCGGCTGCCAGGGCTGGTGCGGCCGCCTCCCGCTCGCCCCGGACGCCCGGCTCCTCGTCGCGGGTCGGCCGCGGCCCACCGTGCCCTCCGACGACGTGACGCACTAGCGCCGCAGCGCCTCCAGCCTTCGCTTCCGCTCCGCGCCCGCGCCCACCGCGAATCCCCCCACCCGCCCGCGCGGAGCGGCCCCTCCTCGGAGCCGGCGACGCCGCCCTGCCTCCCTCCAGTCCAGGCTCTCAAGCGCCGGCCGGCAGGTGCGGCCTTGGCCAGCCCGGGGGTGCCACGCGGCCCCCGCCTAGCCACCCGCGCCCCCTCTCCCCGCCCCCGCCGCCGTCACCCGGCAGCGCGACGCCCTGCTCAGGGCGATGGCCTGGTATTAAAGAGTCACCTTGGCTTAGATATAAAAATAGATGCGGTTAAGCCGCGGGGGCTACAACGCTGATTTTGCGTATTCCTTTAATGCCGACCTTCGCAGGATTCTGTTCGCATATCCCGGCGGAGCTCTTCAGCCCCGCGCAGGCCCTCCTGAAATTTACCCAGAGTGGGCGCGGCCATCCAGACCTCGGGACAGGAGTGCAGAGGGCACGGGTGAGGACCGCCGGCCTCCGCCCCGCCACCTTCATCCTAAACCTACTGCCACTTAGGTGCGTGCAAAGAAGAATCGTAGTCTGCTTTCACAGTCTAGAGAAGTCCTAGAGTCCGGACTTGCATCTGGAGATGTCAGGAAAATACCAAATTCCTGCGCTGACCTTTTCTCTTTCACCGTTTAACCGGTACAGACTAACCCTGACCCAGAAAGATAGCAGGGTTCCATCCGGCTTTCCTCCCCTGCCTCTGCCAGCTCTATTCTACCGTCATATGGCCTCTTGTGCCTTTGCTAATTACACATTCCTACTGAAAAAATTAGCCCTCCTGCATTTAAAACATGATATATTGACTTTAAGGTAATGCATATTGTAGTCTAATGTATTTAATAAATGTATTGAGAAACAATATTGTATGTATTAATGTCAAGACTTTCTTTTACTCATTATGCAAGAACCGTAGCATTATGTTCAGCTCATCCAGAAAAGTTGGAAATTGCTTCTTTCATTCCTGGGAAATATTTAACAATCACAATACCAACTTTCACGAATTTCCTAATGATTAGCAAAATTAGCAACAAAAAATACTTCAAAGAATACTTGTTGATACAGATATATTTGACCCTGATTTAAAAAAAAAAAAAAATAGGCTTTTCTGCCATGTAAGAATCTATTGTTTCATTTGTATAATATTTAATTAGCCAAAATCTTGACTGTTACACATCATTTACCATTTTAATGAAACGTAATGAATTAGATTTAATAGAGCAGAAATTTTGGATAGTTGGGTTCTACCTATAGCCAGTGATGGATGAAATTATATGACTTGTATTTACATTTCTAGAGCTATATGTAAGTAGGAGTCCCCAGGGTAATCCCAAACAATTGCCATTTGGGGAAGCTTTTTTTGGCTACCAGACTATACCCTACAGATGTTGAAGCCTCAGACCTTACTGTAAAGCTAACCAATACAACTTGTTTATAATATTTGAAATGCCTGGGTGTGATTAACTCTTAGCTATTGTCTAAGAAGTGTGCGGGTATTTGTGCCTGAATCAGGGAGGCCTGGCTCCCAAATGTCTGGCTACTCTGGTAGGAGACAGAACTACATTCACCCAGCCCTATAAAAAAAAAAAAAGTCCAATTTTTTTTTTTTTTTAATTTGAGACAGGGTTTCACTCCCACAGCCTAGGCAGGCTGGAATGCAATGGTGTGGTCTCTACAACCTCCACCTCTACAACCTGCAATTTCTGCAACCTCCGCCTCCCAAACTCAAGCTATTCTCCTGCGTCAGCCTCCGGAGTAGCTGGGACTACAGGTGCACACCAACGCATACCACTAAATTTTGTAGAGACGGAGTTTCGCCATGCTGCCCAGGCTGGTCCTGAACTCCTGAGCTCAAGTGATCTGCCTGCCTAGGCCTACCGAAGTGCTAGGATTACAGGTGTGAGCCACCACGCCCAGCCTGATTCTCTTTTCCCTACTTGCAACATGACACTATTTTTGAGAGTTTTTATTTTTTTCTTTTTAAATCACCATTGACTTCTCTCTTTCGCTGAGATAAGTTTTGCTTATGTTAGTGGGCATGAGGGAAGAGAGAGACCCTCTCATATTGTTTTATATTGTTTTATACTCAGAAAAGGAAAGACAAGAGAAACTAAAGGCAGGTAGCCTGGCACCTAGGAACCAGACCCAAAACCAGGCCTCGGCCTGCCTGACCTAAGCCTAGTAGTTAAAATTCGACCCCTGACCTAGCAACTGTTGTTACCTATAGATTCCATACATTGTACGGAAAGACGTTGTGAAACCTCCCGTTCTGTTCTGTTTCACTCTGACCACTGGTGCTCGCATCCTCCGTGATGTACCCCCTGGCTTGCTCAATCCATCACGACCCTCTCTCGCAGACCCCCTTAGAGTTGTGAGCCCTTAAAAGGGACAGAAGTTGAGCACCTGACAAGCTCGGATTTTAAGACGCTAGCCTGCCGATGCTCCCAGCTGATTAAAGCCACTCCCTTCACTATAGGTGTCTGAGGGGTTTTGTCTGCGGCTCATCTAGCTACATTTCTTGGTTCCCTGACTGGGAATCGAGGTGATTAACGGATGGTCAAGGCAGCTCCTTAGGTGGCTTTAGACTGCCCTGTGGAACATCCCTGCCGGGGACTCCAACCAGCCGGAGCGATGCAGATCCTGAGAGCGCTCCCAGGTAGGCATTTGCCCCGGTGGGACGCCTCGCCAGAGCAATGTATGGTAGGCCCCCGTGGAGGATCAATGCAGTGGCTGAACACCGGGAAGGAACTGGCACTTGGAGTCTGGACTTCTGAAACTTGGTAAGACTAGTCTTTGGAACTTGCCCACTCCATTTGAGTGGAATTGTGGCCTGATCAACTATGGCGTGCCTTTATCGGCATTTTGGTTTTGGTTTTGACTTGGTTTGAATTGCTTGACAGGACTGGTCTTGGGAACTTGCCTACTCCATTTGAGTGGAAGCGTGGCCTGATCACCCATGGTGTGCCTTTACCGGCACTTTGGTTTTTGTTTTTGACTTGACTTGGGTTGCTTGATACTTTGGTTTTGGTTTTGACCTGGCTTGGATTTCTTGATACTTTGATTTTGGTTTTGATTCTGGTTTGATGTAAACTGTAACAGTGTGTGTGCCCTTTTTACCCATTCTGTGTTTTGTAGTGTGTGTGGGGGGTGTTTTGTCTCAAGGAGACATGGGTCAGGCACAAAGTAAGCCCACCCCACTAGGAACTATGTTGAAAAATTTCAAGAAAGGATTTAAGGGAGATTACGGTGTTACTATAACACCAGGAAAACCTGGAACTTCGTGTAACTGGCCAGCATGAGAGGTGGGTTGGCCATCAGAAGGAAGCCTAGACCGGTCCCTTGTTTCAAAGGTATGGCACAAGGTAACCTGTAAGCCAAAGCACCCAGACCAGTTTCCGTACATAGACAGTTACAGCTGATTTTAGACCCCCTTCCCCGCCGCAGTAGTTAAGAGAACAGCAGCATAAGCAGCTGGCAGAGGCAAGGAAAGACCAGCAGAGAGAGAGAGAGGAAAAGACAGAGAGGAAGAGACAGAGAGACAAAGAAGGAGTCAAGAAAAGAGAGAGACAGACAGAGAGGCAGAAGAGAAAGAGACAAAGGCAAAAGGAAAGTCAGAGAGAGAGAGACAGAAAGTCAAAGAAAGAAAAAGAGAAAGAAAGAAATATACAAATAGTTAAGAAAAAAACAGTGTACCCTATTCCTTTAAAAGCCGTCTATACCAATTCTAAGTTAATTTAGATTAAACAACGTCTTATTAATAAGAAAGGATAATTGAAATACCAAACTTACAAGGTTTTCAACAAAGTAAAGTTTGCTAAAAGTTAACAGTGTAACATGTATTACAGTAACTTCTAATCTTGTGGCCTTAGACAGTCTAGTCCACAGATATAAAGAAAGTTCGCTTTATAAAAAAAAAAAAAAAAAGGCAATGATTATCTTCAAAAAAAAAAAAAGGAAAAAAAAAGGGGGAGAGGCAGAACTTATGTAATAAGAGTGTTATATGGTAAATTCTTGTCCTGAAATAAATTAACTGGTTGTTTAAAGAAAGAAATGTTTGTAATAAGTCAGAAAGTTGAGACATGTTGAAGAATTGTCTGCAAAAGTCGTGAAAGAAAAAAAGTCATAAAAAAATTTATGCAAAAAATGTTGTATAATTTAAAAGTAATACGGTCTCCTGAGTACTATTGAAGAAACAGTTTATGTGCAAGGTGTGTAAGAAAAGTAAAATATACCTTTGGTAAAAAGATTATAAGGAGGCATAAGAATATGGATTTTTACCTACACTAAAAGGTTAAAAAAAATTATTGTTTTGAAAGTTTAAGCAAGTTTTAAAAGGTTAATTGTAAGGAAAATTCTGTGTGTAAGCATATTAGCTAATGTTAAAAAGGTATCATCCAGTTTTTCTGTGAACTGGACATTAAAGTAAAAACGCAACAGGTTTTTCTTAAAGCATCAACCTGCTCTTTAACAAAAATTATAAAAGGTTAAAAAGAGTCTATAAAATCTTACCTTATGGTCAAACATTAAAAATTAGATAAATATGTCTATAAGGTTTTATTAAAATTAAGTTTAATAACACACTAATATAAAGGTAAAATTTAGCTTATCTAGTGTAAAAATCATACAAGAAGCGTTATTAAATATAAAATGGTGTTTAGCTTTCTTTGGTCTAAAAACTAATAAAAATAGGTGCTAAAGGAAACTTTCATTTTACTAGAAGATCATAGAAGTTAAAAACTTAAAACAAAGTTTGGCAATTAAGACAGCATACCGGAGCCTATTGTGAGGAGAAGGGATGGGCGAGGGATAGAATTAGGAGATATACCTAATGTAAATGACGAGTTAATGGGTGCAGCACACCATCATGGCACATGTATACATATGTAACAAACCTGCACGTTGTGCATATGTACCCTAGAACTTAAAGTATAATAAAAAAAAAAAGACAGCATATCAAGATGCAAATGCCTGGTTGAAATGGATCAAATATTCCATCTGCACGTTAAACAAAAGCAATTATTATGCTTGTGCACATGGCAGGCCAGAGGCCCAGATTGTCCCCTTTGCACTAAGACGGTCCTCCAGTCGACTAAGCATGGGTTCCATGGTAGCTCTTTTCCAGGATTCTACAGCCTGGAGTAATAAGTCATGCCAAGCTCCCTCTCTGCTATATCCCAAAGTCCAGCACCCCGCAGGTCAGCCCCCGAGGGCCATCCAGCTTCCGTGTCCCAACACTAAGTTCACTTCGTGTCTCTCACAAGAGGGGGGAAACTTAGCATTCCTTGGAGACCTGAAGGGATGCAGTGAGCTTAAGAATTTTCAAGAGCTTATCAATCTGTCAGCCCTTGTTCATCCCTGAGCGGATGTGTGGTGGTATTGTGGTGGACCTTTACTGAGCACTCTGCCGAATAACTAGAGTGGCACTTGTGCTTTAGTCCCTTTGGCTATCCCTTTCACCTTGGCATTTCATCAACCAGAGGAAGAAAAAAATAAGACATAGTAAAGCAAGAGAAACTCCTTATGGGTCTTTCGACTTTCACATCTATTTAGATGCAATTGGAGCCCTGCAAGGAATACCAGATCAATTTAAAGCTTGAAATCAAATAGTTACAGGATTTAAGTCAGTATTTTGGTAGATGACAGTCAATAAAAATATAAATTAGATAAACTACATCTATTTCAACCAACAGCAACAAGCTTTTCATGAGTTAAAAGAAAAACTCAGGTCGGCCCTAGCCCTGGGGCTACCTGACCTGACAAAACTTTTTACACTCTATGTGTCAAAAAAAAATGGCAGTTGGAGTTTTAACCCAGACTGTAGGGCCCTGGCCAAGACCAGTGGCCTATCTCTCAAAACAACTAGACAGGGCTTCCAAAGGCTGGCCCCCATATCTAAGGGCCTGGCAGCAACAGCCCTGTTAGCACAAGAAGCAGATAAGCTAACTCTTAGGCCAAACGTAAACATAAAGTCCCCCCATGCTGTGATGACTTTAATAAATACCAAAGGACATCATTAGCTAATGAGTGCTAGACTAACTAGATACCAAAGCTTGCTCTGTGAAAATCCCTGCATAACCATTAAAGTTTGCCTCACCCTAAACCTGGCCACCTTACTCCTGGTATCAGAGAGCCCAGTTAAACATAACTGTGTAGAGGTATTAGACTCAGTTTATTCTAGTGGGTCCAACCTCTGAAACCATCCTTAAACATCAGTAGACTAGGAGCTGTACATGGATGGGAGCAGCTTCACGAACCCCTGCAAAGTGACTCTGAAAAAGATGACAAGCCCTGCTCCAGTCACACCCGGAAGCTGACTGGTCCATGCACAGCGGAAGCATGAGGAAACTCATCTCGGGACTCATTTTCCTTAAAATGTGGACTTGTACAGTAAGGACCTCGACTGACCTTCCTCAGATTGAGGACTGTTCCCAATATACACAT